AAAATGTAAAGTAAGACAAAAAAAAGTGACTTGCCATTACAGGATTATGTCATGCCACTGTGTGACTAGATTGGTTTTGATTGGTTGAACTGTGCCATGTCAGCATGTGGCATTCCAATGTATGCCTTGCCATTGTTCATGCTCTTACTCCCACCGTCCACAAATAAACTTTCCGGTCACTATTCACAGGGTTAAACTTTATTCACTTTTTGGTCTATTTTCGTTACCCATTTGATAAAATAATATAGTCATATCACATCTAGTTTTGTAAATCTTTTGATATACTTTTTCAATATGTAATTTTTATTTTAAAAGTTCACACCATTTTTCATATAAAATGATTTTAAAATAACTTTAGTCAAACATCATAACGCGCAACGGGAAATTTATTTATGGGCGGAGGAAGTAATTATTAATTAATTAGTATTTTTATTTAATATTTTATAGTTTATAGGGTTTAATGTTTTTGTATGGGTTCGAGCCCATTAGATCAAGTAGCATTACATTTTCCCCTCTATATATTGTAATTTTGTTTGTTATTATTCAACTAATAAGAATGTGATAAACCCTAATCTCTCTTATCTTTTGTCGGAGTTTAGAAATGATCAAAATTTTCCTTCTTTTTGCCTCCCATTTCTCCGAGCCCGAAGATGCCCTAAGTTTTTTTCTAATTAATACGAATAGATCTTCTGGGATGCAATTGATGGGGGTGTGGGGTGGGTTCGGGCCGAGCCGGGGTTGGGGGTTTACCGAGGGCTTAGGGGGTGGGGTAGGAACTATCAATTTTTCAAACGGAGTACCGTATAGATCTCGGATCTTCCCATGACATTAAATCTCAATGTCATGTGAACCAAGGTGTAAATAATAATTACTAATTAACTAATAATTAATTAAATACACTAATCACCATAAATATCATGCCAGTAATAAAAATTAAAAATTTACATAGTTTAAAATTATACTCGTTCCGTCGAAAAAATTATCTTCTCGTTACTATTCACATGGTCAAACTTTATTCAATTTGTTTATCTATTTTCAATGCTCATTTGATAAAATAATATAGTCATGTCACCTCGTTTTGTAGATCTTTTGTTGTAGTTTTTAAATATGTGAGTTTTATTTTTTAATTCCACGCTATTTTTCATATAAAAGGATGTAAAAATAGTTCCAGTCAACAATCTTAATGCGCAATGGGAAGATTATTGTCAGACGGAGGGAGTACAAAAAGTTTTATGAAAAAAAGGACAAATTGTTTTATTTTATCAAATGACTAATCAAAATATACAAACAAACAAAAATTATCGAAATACCGTAGTAATAATAATGACAATCATTGTGGGACGAAGGGAGTATTTGACTAGGAATTCCTCTTGTTCCACCTTAGAATTGGAATAGAGATAAAAAACGAAAACTGTGTAGTAGAAAAGATAGAGAGTAGAGATATTATGAGTGCCATAATTTAGATAGATACTGAACAGAAAATGTAGAATTTTTGTATGAGACGGATGTAGTATTTAATTTAATCATTGATATGGAAATATAAGTAATAAGAGCAATCCTACAATTTGTTTTCCTAATGAAGAGGGGGCACATTGTAGTTTAAAGCCTAAATTGTTCTATGTGTCTTATTTTTATTGGTTTTTATTTGATTTTATAAAGTTTTGATCTATCTGGGTTTGATTTTAATTCAATTAAAGTTTAATCTGATTTTGTATAATAGGATTTCTTCATGTTCGGATAATAAAAAAATTCAAGAGAACAGAAGAGTATGCTTGTCCTAATTACACCTTAATCAATTAAAAAATATTTCTAATATAACATAATGTTCTAATATATTAGATGTTTCATATATAAGATGAATATAAAAAATATTTCTAATATAACACCTTAATAATATATGCTATGTGTTTTATATTGTAATATTATAATTTTTCTATTAAAATCAAACCTAATACCCTGTTCTTTGGGACTGGAAAAAGGAGCTGGATGTTAATTGAAAGAAACTGGAAAAAATTGGAAGAACTGGAAGAAACAGGATGAAACCGGAAAAAACTGGAAGAAACTGGAAAAACTTCAAAAAATTGAAAAACCTAAAAAAACTTTAAAAATTTTTATTTTAAATTCTTGTTGTCATAAATTATTATTATTATTATTATTATTATTATTATTATATTATTATTATTATTATTATTTAGTTATATATTTCTAGTTTTATTGGTTCCAGTCGGGTCGGCCGCAGGTTTAAACATAAAACCCGTGCCCGACCCTCTGTGGTCTTTCTAAGGGTAGCTTTAGAGAAATAGTCTTTTTTTATCTTTTGTCATTTAGTGTTAATTCAAGGGATAAAGACCAAAGTAGGACTAAAACATTGAAAATATACCAAAGTAAGACTTCCATATTTCTATTCCCGAAATGGGACTTAAAATGCATTTACATTACCAAACATGGTCATGTACATTACCAAACATGGTCATGTACATTACCAAAAAATATAGTAATTTGCACATTTACAATGCACATTACCACAGTGTAAAGTCCTATTTCGGAGAAAAAAAAACATGAAAGTCCTATTTTGGTACTTTCTCTATGTTTTAGTCCTATTTATGGTGATTTCTATTAATTCAAAGGTTAAAATTTTAATTTCATAATGATCATATACTCCGTCCGTCTGGGAAAAATCATCCCATTTGGACTTTTTCTCATTTTTTTGAATGGTTGACTTATGAGGTTAAATGGCTAAAATACCCTTACTAAAAAAATGTGTAAAGGAAAAAACATGTTGGCCGAATGGAAGGGGTCAATAATTAAAACCACTGTTTACATTATGGTGGAGGGGATATGGGTTCCATACATCAAATCAACTTTTACATAAAGTAATCATTCAACAAAGGTTTTAGATTTCCCTCCTCCTTTTTTAGCTACCCGCCCAAAAAAATTGAAAACAAGTACATTCAAATTGAATTTGAGCAGCATTTAAAGCTCCCAGGTCTTTCCCTTTTGGCATGCATTTCCTCCATTTTCCTTTCTTTCTTCTTTTTCCTTTTCTTGTCCACATTTCCTGGAGCCCTGCACACACAATGAATAATGCTCATATAAATACCAAGAAATTGGATAACGAAACACGGAAGCTTATGAGTGACGCACTACTAACACATTCAAAGAAAAAATCAGACGGTTCATACTCAGCTCAGAGAGGGCAGATCAATAACCTGGCTGCACAATTTGTTGTTTCTAAAAAAATAGTGAGTACCATATGAGCCATTGCAAAGAAACAACTAGAGCAGGGAGTTGCCATCAATGTGAGTAGTGGGATGATAGGAAACAGTGGCAGGAAAAGGATAGTGATGGATGTACAAGAAATTGCAGACACTCCCCTGCGGAACAGGACTACTATAAGAAGTTTAGCGGCTGCCATTGGTAAGCCCAAGTTCAGTGTTCATGAGTGGATAAAAAAGGTATGCTTAGGAGCCATTCTAATGCTATCAAACCTTACCTAACAAATGATAACAAACTTTTAAGGTTGAGGTTCTGTTTAAATCAAGTTGAACCACACAGTATGCCCCTCCAACCTAGGTTTAACAGTTTTCACAATGTTTTGCACATTGATGAGAAGTAGTTCTTTATGCCCAAAACTTCATAAGTGTTTTACCTTCTTCCAGGTGAAGTAGACCCATACAAAACATGTAAATCAAAGAGGTTCATAGAAAAAGTCATGTTCATGTGTGTGGTTGGAACACCACTAATTACTGATAATGGAGAAGTATTATGGGATGACAAAGTTGGCATATTCAATTTCAGTGAATTAGTGAAAGCAAAAAAAAGAGTAAGAACAGGGATAAAGGAGTTGTGGAGGTGAAACCAATCACCAGTGTTACCAAACAAGTGACAAAAGACATGCTAATCAACAAAGTGATTCCAACTATCCAAGAAAAGTGGCTTGCACAATTATCCAAAGATATACACATTCAACAAGATAATGCAAGGCCACACATTCAAGGACTAGACTCAGACTTTGTTGTTGCAGGTAACAGTAATGGTTTTCACATCAGTCTATGTAACCAACCCCTAACTCCCCAGATTTAAATGTACTAGACCTTGGTTTTGTCAGAGCCATCCAGTCTTTAAAAGAGAAGTGTGCTCCAACCAGTGTGGGACAGTTGTTAGAGGCTGTGGAGGGAGCCTACAATGCTCTAACTCCAGAAACTCTATATAAGGTATGGTTGACTTACCATCAAGTGTTGACTAAAGTAATGGAGCATGAAGGAGGAACTAAATATAGATTGCCACATATGGGGAAAGACAGAATGGCCAGGGCAGGGACACTACCTAATTGCTTGAACATTGATCCAGATTTAATTGAGAAGACATGTAGACTGCTTGGTCTACAGAATGAGAGTACACATGAAGACATGGTTCAGTTCAATACTGAAGAGGGAGAGGAGTACCTATCTTCAAAGCTGAACTGATTCGAGGTTTATATTCATGCACATTGTTTGGGTTTTGGTTTGTTTAAGTGCAGTGGAAGTGAATGTGGGTTTTTTGAATGGTTACCACATTCAGTTTTTTGGCTTTTGAGTGTTGTTAGTGGTAGTTTTTTGGCTTTTGATTTTTAAATTTTTGGGTTTTACACCATGTAATGTCCTGCCATATGTATGTACTCACATTAAGGACACTACACACTAACTGCTCTAAATGTTACCATGTTCAATGAAATACAAGAGCCAACATATGTTTCTCAAAAGTAAGCCCACTTCATCATTGCTGATGTTAATGCATGCACATACACATAACATAACCACAATATGTGTAACACATTAACCACTCAGAAACATCCCTTAATGGTTTAATGCTCATCATAGTAGGTTTTTTCCAGGCAGTGCAAAAGACATTGCAGTCATCATAGAAGTTGGCCACATTCACATAACACAATGACATCATTACTAAAAACATAGATGTGTAACAGCAATGTGCACTCAGAAACATCCCCTTAAGGTTAAATGTTCATCACAGTAGCTTCATTATTCTCATACTTTGCAAAATAAATTGCAGTCATCATAGAAATTGGATCCAACATAATTCATACAGGCAGCATTCACATAACAAGAACATACAGAGCACATAAGAAATTTCAATTATCACAGCAATGTATCAACAAAGTTCACAGTGGCAAGAATTAAATTGATACTCAAGGCAAGAAATATGTAAAGTGAAAGGAGGTGAAAGTCACTCCCCTACTTGTACGTTGAAGCCCAAAAGTTAGGATCTGGAGTAGGTAGTAAGATGTTAAGCATATCTATGTGGAGGTGAATGTGTGAGCAGATCATCGAAGAAGTATCAATCCCAATGATTTCAGACCTAAAGGAATCATTAATATCACTGTCTCCCAGGAACTCAACCTCATCGCTACCAAGATCAAAGGTATCATCGTCGCTGTCAATGACGATGACCTCGTTCTCCTCCTTGTCGTCAGAGGTAATATCGTCGGCAATCACCTCAAAATCTTCACCTCCACCATCTTCAAATTCCGTTTCAGAAATATAAGATTCGTAAAATAACTCATGCGATTTCTCTAATGGGGTAGATGAAGAGTTCATGCACATGAAAGAGATGTAGATCTAGGGAGAGATGAATGCTTTTTGAAGAGAGGAAAATGATAAGGTCTAGAGATGGGTGAATGAGTGTAACTGGCTGGGGAGGTGGGGGTTAGAGAGAGAGAGAGAGTAATGCGTGCAGGTGGGTGGGGAAGTGGGATGGTTTGAGGGAGTAAATGAAAATTTAATGATAACGGTATTTTTGGAAGGATTGGGGGTAAAATTTGAAATGGGAAGATTATTTCCGGACGAGAAAAAAGGAGAAACGGGAATATTATTTCCGAACGGAGGGAGTATTTTTCTTGTTATACACAATTCTAGAGGTCGCTCGTGATGTGTCATTTGTGAATCACAGTCACTGCCTACTATAATATGTCACTAAACATAAGATTGATGTCAAAGTACATTTAAGCATTCAAATTAACATCAACGTGACACAATGTCAAAAAAAACTATTTCTGAAAAGGTGTCCATAAAAGAATAACTACGCGAGAAATATTTGATAGTAGAGAATTAAATATGGAAAACCTCTATTATAAAGGACCAATTGTGGAATTCATTCTAAAATATAATATCTCTTCATAGTTTCTTCATCCTAATGACAAACAATGAGACACAACTTCCGCCTCCGCTAGGTTTGTTTCTCAGTGAATTTTCCCATAAATATCTTGGAAGGCATTTCCTACCATTTATGCCAAGGGAGAAATTTGAATCCTTCTTTTCTTTTTTAGAAATAGGTTATCCCTCCGTCCTACAAAAAGAACATTTTTACATTTCTTTTTCATTTCTAAAAAATTGCTTTCCATTTGTGATAACTTCTATGACTTAGATTTTTCTCTCATCACTTTCATAACACAATATAACTTTTCTTAATAACTCCATTAATTTCATAGGGGAACTTTTTTGTGGGATGGCAAGAGCAAAACATATTTCCTCTCAATCTTAAAACACTTCCTCTTTCTTTTTTCTCTTTTCCTAAAACACTTTCACTTTCTATTTAAACACTACCATTACCCCTACTTTTTCTTACCCTGCCTATCACATCATATTTTTTACCTACCTATCACATCATACTTTTTTTCTAGTAATCCACTCATCACATCAATGAAAAAATTAAAAAATGAACTCCAAATAACCCTTCTTTGTTTCCCCAGAGTCAATGTAGGAAGCGTTTATTAAAATAGTAGGAGTAAATAAAAGTCTCACCTCTATCGCATATACTACCGTCCACATTCACCTACCCTCACCTCTACTCTTCTTTCAATCCCTAGGTCTTCTCTTTCTTCGTTGAGTTCTTCTTATCTGGACCTTAGGTCCATGCTATTTCAGGTGGACCTTCATATGATTGCGTGATGGATCTCAACATACAATTAAGAAAAGTACTTCGTATGAATAAGAAATATAAATCTCACAATATGTCGTGTTTTCAATACATTTCAATTCCCCCTCCCTTAACCAGAAGGATCTATTTATACATATAATGGGGAGAAAAATTAGGTGTTTGAATCCTAAAAGGATTCAAATCTTTTAGGGTCCGTTTGGTATATGGAGTTGGTGGAATTGGAATTGAATTGGAATTGTAATTTCATGAGATTCAATTCCATAGAATTGAATTCTGTCAATTTCAATTCATTTTTTGCACTATCAATTCCAAATCTACATAATTTTTGTGCTACCAAACAATAGAATTGGAATTGTAGTCTTCAATTCCAATTCCATATTTTGAATTCCATGTACCAAACGGAGCCTTACCAAATATGCACCCCAGTTCTGTGGTTTCCTATTACAATATACGGAGTAATTTTCATAAATGTAGACGATTCTCTCAGGCTTTAAGCTTTCATATTACTCGGCCCACTCTCACTCGTTCCCCCCATGGGCCACATGATGTTTCGAATATGGGCTGATGAGGCCCAGTATATAATTATCTCGCAGACCTAATCTGCATCATAAGCCCTCTAGTCTTTTGTGTCACGTGTCACTGTGGACTGCTCAGTTGAGAACACTCATGAATTAATCCTTGGAAAGTAGTAATTAACAAGGTGGAAATGCTCAACGAGTTATGCCCCTCTTTAAATGCACTGTAACTTTGCCAACTTGCATTTGAGCGATAGACCCTCTGGAAAAGTTGTGCTGCAGAAAATGCGTGCTTTTTTCAAAGGAGGTTCAAACAAAAAATTATATTGGGTCAGACCCGTAAACTGGATTCTTAGCCCAAAACTCCTTACTCCAAATTTATACGGATTATTTCTAATTTCATGGCCCAAATACAAATGTGTAGTGTAAAAGCCTTGTCGTGAGGCTAATTACACCAAAAAATATACCCCATTTGTACACCACAGACTTGCACAAACATTTTGATGGTTTACACCGACACAAGTGTTGGTGCGTTAATAAATATTCACACGGACACAAATGTTGGTGTGTTTAACAAAAATTAGTTTTACACCAACACAAAGTGTTGGTGCAAAACTGCGGGGTACAAATTGGTGTACAAACCTTGGGGTACACATAGCATAATCCTTTATAATTTTACCTTGACTAAACCCTTTATGCTTATTCTAAAAAGATTTAGGCCATATTCCGTTCAACTAATTTTTTCTTATTTTTTCTTATTCTTATTAAAATCAGATCAGATCAGATCCAATCAGATCAAATCGTATCCACTTAAGAATTATTATTATTATTATTATTATTATTATTATTAAAAAAGAAAAAGAATAAACTTTAGAAACAAGTTAAATAGAAAACTGAGAAAGTAATCCTTAATTATTAGACGTCAGAAAAATTATTTTTAAAATACATTGACAATGTCAATCTAATTCTTTTTTTAAAATACATTTTTATTACTACCTGTAATTTGAGTTTCTAAAGTTTTGATCGTTTACTACATCGAGTTGACTAGCTTTGATCATGACTTGTATAAAATTAACATTTGATATTCATATACGGAGTATATTTTAGTATAATTGAATTAACTATAATATCTATGATGTTATAATAATCATAAAAAAAGTTTCGTGATACAAAGCACACGTTGATATTTTATAAGGATGAGATATTTTAATAAAAATACTATCTCTTCTTTATATTGATTATCTAAATTTAATTACTTTTTAATGTAAATATGAATTAAATATTTATTCTAAATTATTAAAATATTAAATCAATATTCTTATTTCATAAAAAAATAATCATAAAATAAAAAATATTATTACATTATAATATGAATGATTATTCTAATATATGAATTAACTAATTTTATTTCATTAAAAAATAATCATAAAATAAAAATATAGATTATATTATAATATGAATTATCATTACAATTTTCAAATCAAATTATTGATTTGAATTTTAAATCAAATCATAATTAATCAGATCAGATCAGATCCAATGAGATTAGATTATATTAGATTAGATTAGATCCAATTAGATCAGACCAGATCAGACCAGATCCAATAAGATCAGATTTAATCAAATTAGATGATATCCAATCAGATAAGATCAGACTAGATCAGATCAGATCAAAACTACAAAAAATCAGATTAAATCAGAAAAAATAAGTTGAACGGAACGGAGCCTTAGTAGTTTAACAAGCCAACGTATTGGACACATATGCTTGAAGATCCTTTGACCCATTGAAATTTCTAGATGTTGGCGCTTAAAAACACCATATCGTCGTAGGATTCCTCGCCGATGATATTTGCTGGTCCGCTGGATCGTCATCATCGTCGCTGCTATCCAGCAACAATCGTTGCATCATCACCGTCCTCCTAAGCGCTGGCTGCTGCTTGCATCGTCGAAAATTAGGTTGGGGGCTAGGGACGAAGCCCTAGCCCTAGTGACGCCAATCATTGATCGTCGCTCCTCTCTTTGTGTTCGCTGTGTCTCGCTGCTATGTAGTTTTTAAAGAAGAAGATGAATTAATTCTTGCGATGAAGCTCCCCTTCTATAGCGTTTGATTACTCCAAATACTCCCTTCGTCCACCAAAGGTCTTCTCATTGCGCGTTACGAGGTTTGATCGACTTTATTTTCAATTTAATTTATTTGATTGTAAGGATAAAATTCAAAAATTAAATTTATATAGTAAAAAAGTACATGAAAAGTTCTACAAAACTAGAGGTGACAATATTATTTTATTTTATGAAATGAGTGGTTAAAATAAGAAAACAAAGTGAGTTAAATTTGACTATGTGAATAGTGTTTGGAAGATCTATGGTGGGCAGAGGGAGGATTTCATTTGAAATGGGCTTGGGCTTTTTCAAAGAAGAAGATGAATGAATTATTGCGATGAAGTTCCCCTCCAGTAGCGTGTGATTACTCCGTATATTTCATTTGAAATGGGCTTGGGCTTTTGATATGATCCTAAAATAGACACTCAATTAGTAAGCCCCATTGTCAATTATGCTCAAGATCTAAATAATTGTGTATTGAAGTTAAAGTCCAAAGAGCATAAATTAAGAAGTAGTAGAAAAGAGTACTAAAAACTAGGGGTGTAAACGGATAATATCCGTGACGGATGTGGCATATCCGAATCCGTATCCGTTTAAGTTTAGAAATATCCGAATCCGAATCCGTATCCGGCGGATATGTACTATACTATATCCGAATCCGTATCCGACGGATAATTATGAGTTTCGGATATATTCGAATCCGATTAGATATCCGAAAGTAACCGAATATCCGAATCCGATTAGATATCCGAAAGTAACCGAATCCGAAAATATCTGTGTCCATTAAAAAATCCAATTAGATATCCGAATCTATTTATAAATAAATTAAACACAGTCCAAAACTATAATTGAAGTCCATAATACATTAATACCAAAAAAGACTTTAGAGTACAAAAAAACAATAGTCCATATTTTACCAAATATCTAATAATACGAACAAAAATATAAATTTCTAATCGATAAACTACAAATCGTATTTAATACATCTCAAAATTCTCTCAAGAAGATAATCTTTGATGCATCCAAAATTGCAAGCTATTTCACTTGCTTGGTACTTCAAAACCCACAATATACCATACCTGTTAAAAAAAGTCAAAGTAGGAATGATATTGTGTTTTCTAAAACAACAAACTGAGGTTTAAAAATACAACAAAATAGAAAGTTCAAGATTTCAAGAAATCAAAACTGAAAACTTCACCTCAAGGAAGGAGAAGACAACAATAATGCATATCATTCCATGAATGTGTCACCTATGAGAGAAAAAAAATCAACATATTAAATATTTTTTAACGAATAGTTTTTAGACAAAGAAGTGATAAAATTAAAATTACTTACCTTCTCCTTCAATTGTTGGCAACCAATGTAACACCCTAATCCGTCCAGGTATGCAGCCCCTTTCGGACTAAAGTATTAACTTGGCAATCATAAAATTTAAGACATTTCAAACACTTTTATTTATCACAATAATATTTTCATATCATAAACAGTACGGAGTTTTTAATATTGCGGAAGCTTAACAAATCATAATTACAAACATAATTTATTTATGTTCTTTAATTCAAAACATCACATCCATTCCGATAGTCTCGCCTCCGTCCGCCTCCAGGATCACGTCACATCATTCTTTCTATTAACCTGCGTGTAGCAAATAAAACATACTACACGCTCAGCGGTAAAGCTGAGTAAGCATATCTAATGCGTCGAACATCCATATAAATTGTATCTCAATTCACAATCAAATCATTTGATATCATGCACATAATGTTCATTCAGATATTCAATAATCAATATTCAATTTTCAACATTCATTATTCAATCGTTCAACATGTATGTTCTTCATTTGTCATTCAACAATATCCTTAAACTATTCTTAGTCTAAGGCCAATCAT